ATACCCTCCGAGGCCAACTTGGTGGTAAGTTTTCAGTAAATGCTTAAAAGAAAGAAGTCAGACCAGGAAGTGACAATGAGAAAAAGAAAGTCAAAATGGAGACCAAAGAGAAAAAAGGGGGCATTGACAGCTGCACCAAATGAGCTTCACTAATGGATGATAAGGGCCTAGGGCTTAATTGCTAATGACTAATGAGCTGCTAAGTCAGCTGTGTTCTCCCAGCAGTAAACCAGGTCTTGGGCATCTCTCTATCTCTTCTTATTAGCACTTGATAAGCACTGATGATAGGATAGCAAGACTAGCTTGACTAACAAGCAGTAGACTTTGGAGAGAGTCCTGGTAAGCAAATCTGGAGATTTACAGGAGAACTTGGGGTGAGCCTTGTAAAGGAGGTGTTTTCTAAAACACGGTTTGTTTGGCAGACATCAAACACCACAGTCATCTCAATGAGAATTCAGCATTGCTCTAAGTACTGACACTGCAATTATCTTAAAGCAGGTTCAGTTTGCAGCGGCGGCGAAGGCCTCAGATCCCAAATGTCACTCTCACATTGACCACCTGTCAGCAACAAGGTATCACCAATTGGGGGGTGTGCAGGTGCTGTCACTGCTATAGAGCAGGGGGGCAAGACAAATAAAGCACCTCCCGTGTCTCCTCTTGGCTTCTGCTCGGAGTTGAACTGTACAACCCAGTCTAATAAGGTCAACCATATGCCCGGTGCCATTGCTTCGCTGGGACTCTGAGCACTGTGCTAAATGCTTCAAAGCAACGTCATTGCATGGGAAAATTTTAACCTTCCTTCCCTTTCCCTGCCTTTTAACATTCAAATGATGGCTTTGACCCTTGGCCTCATTTTCCATTTTGTCAGCGATATGGCCCAACGAGTAGCCAGAGTCATTCTAATCCATGCTGGTATTGACCAAGCGACCTATAGATTCATTGTATGTGCCACCAAATATAAGAATGTATCAAATATAAGATATCTATAATGTCAAGAGCAACATATTAGATGTTTTTATAGTTAGAAGGTAAAACATAGCCTTCCTGTTGCAGCTTACCATCCACAGGAGCCAAAGCACTCAAAAACAAGTCGGGCTGTCATTGTTGTCGGGTGCCATCGGTCACTTCCAACCCCGAGCCACCTTCTGCCGAGCAGAAGGAAACCCGGCCTGTGCCTGAACCATGGTTTCAGTCACTGTCAAGGCATCTCCTTGAGAGTCTTCTTCTCCCCACTGTCCTCCGCTTTACCGAGCATGATGTCCTTCTCCAGGGACTGGTCTCTCCTGACAATGTTGATCCTTGCCCTTAAGCCATACTTCTTCCAAGACAGATTTGTATGTCCTTTTAGCAGCCCAGGGTACTTTCAATATTCTGCTCCAGCACCACAATTCAAAGGCATCAATTCTTACTTCAGTCTTCTTTATTTAGTGTCCAATTTTCACATGAGGCAATTGAAAGTACCACAGCTTGAATCAGGCATAGTACCTTTGTCCTCAAAATAAAATAGAGCTCCATTGAATGGTACAAGTCTTTATTAGGAAATTGAGTAAGCAAAGTTGTTTTGACCAATAGTGACGTCATTCATTCATTCAGCCCACTATTAAGACTGACGTTTAGATAAAGCAGTGTTGCATCATGGAGGGAGAGTTATGGATCTACATCTAAGATCCATACCTCTTAACAGAAAGACGGTCCATGAGATGAATTGACCGTGTGGCGGCAACAAAGGGCTCCGACATAGCAGCTGTGAGGAGGGCGCAGGACCTGGCAGGGGCTTGCTCTGCTGAAGATGGGTCTCCATCAGTCAGAATCGACTTGATAGCAGCTAACAAGAGCAACCATCATCGTTAGGTGGCACTGTCAAAGTCTTCTGCATTCATTGGATACTTTCTCAATCTTAGCAGTGAAGTGGTTGATCGGTTAACCCCCAGGGCCCACCAGCAGTGATGTGTCACGTTTCTAAAAAATCAAGGAAGCAAAATTTGGTGGAACCTTTTCAACTTTTAGCCCCTACAAATGTCAATCTGAAAGCCTTCTCACTTATACTAGCATGTGATTTAAGAAGTTCTGACCTAGAGAAAGAGTTTTAAACGGTCATTAATTCGTTAATCACTCTCTCCTGACACCAAAAACAAACAAAGCATTTTTGCTTACTTCTCCTACTGTAGCACAGGATTTATACAAACCTGACTTACATCCCAGGACACCCCATTCATCTTGTGTGGACTCGTTCGTGTAGGGAAACAAGGACTACGGGTTAAGTGCATTCTCGGTGCTGGTGCATTCACATCTCCTATGCCTGTTTCCTCCCTTCTCAGCATGCCACCCACCGTAGTGCTCCTTCAGATCACAGCCTTGCAAAGACAAGTGAAGCTGAAATCAGCCTTTTCTTGTACTTTACTAACGTGTGTATAGCAATGCCTCTTACAATACAGCAAATTCCCATGTAGCACCGATCACTTGATTTTGTCTAAAACAGCCACAGGCAGTGACAACCTGACCACCTGAGGATTTTTAGCCCTACAACCTCAACCCTGTATAATAATCATTTGTAAAATTTCAAGTAATAGGAATCTTAAGAGAGTAGTCTTAAGTGTGCCCAGGTTATTGTTTCTGGAGTCAATGGTGGGAGGGAGGCTCGATTTTTCACTCACTGCCTTTTTAAAATTGTTTACAGATTTACCATGTGCTTGCATCAGTTTCAGTATAATAAAAAATTTAAAGGAAGTATTAGCCAAGAGGTACTGTACATTCACTATGTGCTCAGCCTTTTATATGCATGACCTCATTGAATCCTCTCAGCAATCTGAATGTAATTAAGAAATAAACGGTTTCCCCATTTTGCACATGAAGCAGCAGAGGGTTAGATGAACATGTGCCAGGACAGACATCTCGTAACCAAGCTGACACTTCGTGGTCAGGAAATTATATGACTGATACCAAAAACAAAAGTTGTCAGAAGTTAAATTGGTAGGGGCCTGCCAGTAAAGGAACACGTTTACTAGGCAAACATTAGCCAAGTCTCCAACAGTAAGTCAGGTGGAAACTTAGGTTGAGCTCCACGTCTTGACATTTCCAGGGTTTCCTTGTTTATTCTCCATGTTCAGTTTCTAAACCATATTGGTAACATATTTCATTGCTATTGGAACTTCTGAATTTGGGGGAGTGGTGGGGTATAGGGTTCATGACCTTTGTTTGCTTCTCCATGCATGGCTGGAAACCAGCTCGCCTTTCCCCTATCACTACAGTAGATCCAAAGGTCAATACTGGGGCTAGATGGCTGTCTGCAGTCCTTTCCCTTCTCACCCATCGAGATTAACATGAGCCGTCAGGGGAACCACAGAGCATGTCCCACAGCATCCTCCAGCCTCTAGAGTGAGAGATTGGGTCGGCTGAGTCACCCTTCAAAAGGATGAGCACGGATGCCAACCAGCCAGGGCCTGCTGCTTCCTGGACAGCCCTCTCATCAGTACCTGGCACTCAGAGAGAGAGAAGCTTCCAAAGAGCAGCGAAGGCTATTTAGCACAAGAAACAAGGATAGCCAAGCATGGTGTGTGTCTTTCCATTTGGATTTTTCATTGCGGGTGATTTTCATATCTAGCTGAAGAATAAAAAGAGGTGAGGAATGTTTTCTGTACTTTAGAGAGCAAACATGATTTACAGTGACAAGGTGTAAAAATTCACACGCCAGTATGAACCTCAGAAGCACCAGCTGCTCCACCTCTGGTGTTGTCCCCACCCTGGCGCTGGAGTGAGCCTTGGAGTGACTGAGTCTCTCTCCAGGGTGCTCCCATCTGGTGTACGGATTGGCTGTCTGGTCCAATCCCCAACATTTTCTTGAGCCCCCACTCTGGCCAGTTCTTCTAGGTGTTGAAGAGCCAGCCAGGGGCAATATCCAATATGGCATGTTCTAATTAGGGGAGAGAGACAATATCAAAACTAATAAATGTCCTATTGTATGATGGAGGGTGGTGAGTACTGAGGAAAATAAAGCAGTGCTCAGAGAGACTTCAGATGGAGCTGATTTGGAAAGGCTCCTTGGGAAGGTGGCATTTGAATTAACTGGAAGGAGATGAGAGGGTGAGCTATGAGCATACCAGGCAGAGGAAACAGTACGTGCAAAAACCCCGACAGGAGAAGTAGCGGGGGCCAGACCCCATTGTTGTTAGGATTACTGTGTGCGGTCAATCTTGTAGGACTCTGAGAGCCATTGCACGTTGACTTTTCTTAGTGTTACTTCAGAGAGGTCCTTCAAAGGTTGGAGATAGAGGCGGGATAATTATCTGACTTCAGTTTCTCCTAGAAATCATATTAATTGTGCGACTGGGTCCCAGAATGGCCCACTGATATGATTCTTGAACAAATGCATTCAATCAGACTCTTCAAAGAAGCTCACGGCGCTGGATTTTGATCCAGGGAGCAGGGAGTCGAGTGGACTGCCTTCAGGAAAGCCAAGCCAGGCCTGCTGCACTGTCCTCACCTGAAAAACCAGGATGGACAATACCTGCCTCCTCGTGGCTTTGGGCTGAGGGGCAAGTGAGAACTGACTACTCAACTGTGGTAGAACTCACAAAGCACAGGTAGATGTCAAGAGGGGCGGGGAAGGTGCGGTGGCTGTACTGCTTCATTGATATTGCAGGGAAACAAAGCCCAGGACCCGAGGCAGCAGGGGGTGCAGGGCTACATCCTTCTCTGTCTTATTGAGCAGTCCTGGAGATGGGACGTTGTCCTCCTCTAGCACTGGGGTCTGGGGAGAGAACCAAGGCTGACTGATCCCAACAGAAGGCACCAGGTGGGCTCCCAGCTGGATCAGTCAGCACCGTGGGACTTTGGTAGACCAGGGCCTCTGGGACTGGTGGCTCTTCTCCGTGGCCAAAGGATTTATTCGGGCAGGTAGGATGCCCTTCCTCCTCCTCAATTCCGGCTGCAGGTGCACAGGCCTGACTTCTGCTGGGCGACTTCTCCCAAATAACCACAACCCTCTTCTCCCTCCCCGACAGGCATTCCTCCTACGGACGGCTTTTGGATGACCATGACTACGGATCCTGGGGGAACTACAACAACCCTCTCTACGACGACTCCTAACAAAGACCCTTGGCCTTCATGGAGAATGAACTGTTCTTTATTTATAAGCGCTTCTCCAGTAGAATTCATCACGAGTACCTGATGCGCATTGAGAGACAATCTTAAGCCCTGTTTTGTTGGTCTGGTTGTTTTTGATTCCCTCCCTTCCCTCTGGCTGCCACAGCACCCCCTTCTGTTACAAAAAGAACCAGGGCTTCCAGGTGAGTCCGCGGAGGCTTGCTTGCTTCTGAAATGGGTCTGCCTGGAGGGGCCAGGCCCCTCCTTCTGGGCCCAAGGGGCTTCGGTCAAGACAGGACCCACTCTGAGAGGGACCGAGGAAGAGGGCCTGGGTTAGGTTTATTGGAGGGTTGCTTTAAGGGGAGGGTTTTTCTTGTTGTTGTTCATAGTGGTTCCTTAAACTTTTCTGTAGAAAATCACATTAAATATCAATGAGGCAAAAAAAGGAAATGAGGACTAGGAGGACTTCAGTCTGCGTGGGAAACAAGCCGGGGTTTCTTCGATTCCTTTTTCATCTCTGTTGAGAGGGTTGCGTCTGACAGGATGCCCGTGCAGCTGGGCAAGCTGATGGATCCCCCCCGGCGTCTTTGCTGCCTGACGACTGAGAGATGAAAAGAGAAGGTGTCCGGAGGGAGGCTGCAGGCTGAGGGGCAGAGTGCAGTTGCTGTCAAATCTCAGCTAAACGCCTACCCCCCACACCCACACACAGACACACACACCTGTGCCCCCTCCAGCCACCTCTCTAAGCGGAGGATCCCGCCTCCACTCAGCTGCAGCTGCAGCTCCAGCCCACCGTGTGCAGCCGAGTTGTGACTGCGAAGGACGATGCCTTGCGATGAGCTACGGGATAGAAAAGAGAAAGAAGGGGGCGGGCAGGGGTGGTGGTGCCTGAGAGTGGCAGAGTTGAAGAGTAAGAAGGGAGGAACATGTATTTCAGGCCTCCTTAAGGAAGTGGGAATAGCTGTCAAGACATTCACCACTTGAAGGAACCCATAGAATCTTTGCTTTATAGCCTCAAAGCAACTCGTTCACTGCCTTCCCGTCCCTCAGTTAATAGCTGTACACAAGTGGGTTTGGTTGTTTTTTAAGGGCACTAATGGCGTGGCATTGGTCACCGTCATTTCCACAGAAAACCAGTCCCCTTGGGGATTCATGTATTCTTCCCAGCCCTTTAAATGACTCATCCCTCCTTCTATTAAATGGACTCCTTGGGTGATGGTTGTCCTTAATGGCCTCAGGCCAGTTTCAACTCCTCATCACCCCAAGAAAGGCAGATACAAACATCGCCTGGTCCTGGGTAGTCCAAAATTCCACATAGCAAACGCTGAGAAGGAACCGATCAGCCTTATAGGCATTTATTGCTGACAGTCCAAATCAGGAAGTGATTTTGCCCACAGGGGACATTTGACAGTGTTTGGTATTATATATATACAAAATTGACAATGCTACAAGTGAGTAGAGATGAGGGATGCTGCTAACCATCCTAGAGTGTATGGGACAGCGATTAATTACAACCAAGAGTTTTCAAATGTCAATAGTGCCAAGGTTGAAAACCCCTGATTTACTGTTTCATTGTGACTGAACAATACACTCCCAGATTATGAACAACGCCTATTTATTTAGCACAGTGAAATGCTGTATTTGTGTGTTTGTTTTGATAGTGCCAGTGTTGAGTGGGTTGCTCAGGCATGCATGATCACCTGAATAACCTCTCTGTGTCTACTGGAAACCATCATGTCACACCTACCACCCCGTCTTCCTGTCACCGGGCTGTAAGCAGCCAACACCTTGTGTCCTGATGCCACGGAGTAGGAGACATACTTGGGCTCCTTTTCAAAGTGTCCTTCAATGTCACAGAGAACTTGAAACAGAGTTCATTTTTCCTTCATTTTTAAATTGGGACTTGCTTGCCACTGACTGTTTAGTTTACATGCACCTGGCCCTCAGCTCCTCCTGTCCCTATCTCAACCTCTCTGGAGTCAGAGACGCTGGGCACCGTGCCCACCCCTTTCCACAGCCTTTCCTCCAGTACTAGGCTAGAGGAATTATTCCCCTACAGAATCAGTGCCAAAAGAGCAAGCCACACTGACCCCTGGAAATATTTCATAGCAGCAGTGGGTAATGAGGAGTGAGCTTCCAGAAATTATAATCTCTCTGAATTACAAAACACAAAACAAAACAAAAAAAAGTGGATCTTCTCCAAAGAGATGACCAAGAGTAAACAAAGACTGACCCCGTGGCTGTCATGAGTCAGAATCATTGTCCTTCTTTCTGAACCCAACCCCCTTTGTGCGGCTTTCAGTTTGGTAAGGGCAAGCCAATCAAAACAGGCTGTTCCATACATTTTATCTCCCTCAGCTAAAAATACTTTGACAATACTTCCACGAGACACCTTGGTGTGGTACGAAGCTGGATGTGGCGTCAGTCATAGACACAGCATCAGAGGGACCAGCCCCTTCCCAGGGAGCTCTGGCCAATTGTAAACCATAGAGCTGACTGCTCTCATTGACTTCACACTCCTTCAGTCTAGAGAACATATACTCAGCTAGATGACAGCCTCCCATAACAAATCTCACAGCACGTCATGATGCCAGAACAAAGTGCCAGTGGCTTGAATCTTATTTGGCTAAAACTATTCTCAGCTTTTGAGTTGACCAAAGCCTTTTTACAATCATATTCTGCAAATATTACCTAAAGCCAGGGCATGGAACCAGTTTGTTCTAGTTCATCCCTGTGCTCCAAATTTGCGTTTCCACCCCAGATATACTGAATCCAAATAGACATTTTCACATGTATCGATATCTATAAGAATCCCATAGATTCTGATTCGGTATGTCTGGGGTGAAAATGCAACATCTCAGTAAACCAGAATAAACCAGTTTGAAACCCTGTTTAACACACACACACACACACACACCGTGAAACAGAGGCGAGTAATTGGAATCATTTACCGCAGGGAGGAAGACAGTCTGTTTTCCCCTGGGGAAAGGCTGCAGGGACTCGAGAGGACGAATCATCCATGCATAGGACTAGTCACAGCGCTTTAGCAAGCATGTCAGCGCGTAGGCAGGCGTGCAACCTTTTCCAGTCAATTGCGGATTCGTGAAAGACTGGAATTCAACCCTGTTTTCTGTTTCAGTTGTCCCGGTGAAGTCTCCTGCCCTCTCTGAACTTCTGTTTCTGCATTTCTAAAGTGAAGGCAATGCTTTCATATTGACCTCACCCAATACTACCTCACAGAGGTGCCGTGAGGACTGATGAAATCATGTCAACAGTGTTTTCAGTTTCTGGGGGGAAAATATTTATAGTCATTTAAAGTATTACACAGATCTATATAAATGATCTCAGCTCGTTTGCTGTTGTTTCTACTTAAACCCTTGAAACTACAACTGTGTGGCGGCTGCATCCATTAGCTCTCACAGCCCGGGACGACCCCAGTCCAATGGACCATCTGCAGAGTTAGCTGGGCCTGAGACCGTAAATGAAGATTGCCATCTCCAAAAGAAAGCGTGGCCTAGGACACAGGGTGAGATAGTTAACGTTCATTGTGCCAACCTGGCCAATAAACACATGTGGGGTTCATTGAAGAGAGGAGAGAGAAATGGCTCAGTGAACCTCGCCTTTCTAGTTCTCGGGTCTCTTCCTTTCTGATGGTTGGACCAGGGTGCAGCTGCCTTAGCCAGTTCCCTGCTTCAGCTGGCAAGGCTCACTTCCTGAAAGACATCCCTGAGTAGAAGCCACATGGACCTACCCCAATGCAGCCCTGGGTGCTGGAGCAGCCGTGTTGAGACCCCTGCCAGCGCTGAGATGCTTACACGTTCACTGACTCAGCTTTCCTCCTGCAGTCGGCGTCATTGCGTCTGCTTTGTGAGATGGAGGAGGACTTTGTGGACTGGTGTTGGGCATATGGGTTAATGTTGGACTTGTGGGCTTGGGTTGGGATGTTTTCTTGATGTGCACTTACCCTTCATTTAAAACTCTCTCTTATACATGAGTTTCCGTAGATTTGTTTCTCTAAAGTACCAAGACAAACACATAGGACCTGCAGACTACTGAGTCAGGATCCAGGTCAGAGTAACAATGCAGACACAGGAGCATCAAGGACAGTAGACTTCTGTCTTTGCCATCCTAGGGTCTCCTGGGTCCTATGCTGGATTTGATTTTGGCTTGTCGTCATCTGTTTACCCTTCATCATGCTTGCAAGGGTGCATGGTTCAATCCCTGGCATCTGGACAATGAATTTTGCAACTGAGCCAGATGCTTCTTCGCACGTTAATTCACCTACTTTGCCTTTAACCTCTTTTGGAGGAGAGGGGAGGGTAGCAAATGAATGTATCACTTCTCCTTTGATTTTGACAGTGGTATATGATATTGGTCACATTTCTAACCAAGAGACCAATGCCTGATGGTTTGCCTGGGATGTGTTAGCCAACATCATTTGCAGACGAGAAGATGTGCAACTTCTTTGATATTTGATGTCCTTGTATTCACATTTGTTGTAAGACATATTATCCCAATTCTAATTATATTAAAGTTGTTAAAAGCTTGCACCTGGCTGTGCTGATTCACATTGTGTTTGTTTTATTATCCATGCTGTTTCATCTCCCATCGGTAAATCATATTTTCTGCAGTGCAGGAAGGTCTTTCTGATCTTAAAACAGAATTGAAGAGGATCAGAATGGAAGAAACTTTCCCATCAGTCATTTTCCACTTGCCTGTATCATGTGCCTTATCAAAGAGATGTGAAAGGACACTTGGAGTCAAGCAGTAGTTGGCAGCACATTAACATGTCATGCCGAGCGACGTCAGCACTCTCACAGTACATTTGATACCTGCTTCGCTCCTCTTCCAGAAAACCACAGTGAGCACACCCATCCTGTCAGACCATCGTCTGCAATAGCAGTCCAGGCCCAGAGGCTACGCACGATGGTTCTGGGGCTTGAGGAAAATGGCAACAGCAAGCCAACAATATTTTGCCCTTTCAGAGAGGAATAGAGATGCCCCCAAACTCAAACGCCTTGACGGGATGGTGGGTACAAAACGAAGGCGAGAGTTAGCACGTGGAGTGCCCTGTTTCCCAGTGGCATAGTCAGGACAGAGAAGGGAGGTGGAGACCAACCATAAGCCACCCCTTTCCCATCCTTTTTTGTCACTTGGGAACCTGCCATGGGAATAAAAGCAACTAAAATGCCCAAACTTACCCCAAGTTTTATTGAACAGGATTGGTCAGGGAGCATTGAAAATGTACACAATGAGCAGAGGCTTTTAAAAATACTATCCAGTGTTTACATTTGGGATTCAAAACAATATGCTTTCTGTATTATAGATTTTACGGGACTGTTCAATTGGGGACAAACCTCTGAGAGGTATGATGTCTTCCCTTAATGGAGCTAGTCTTTGGCAAATGTAGAATGAACTACCTTTACTACACGGATGAAATGAATC